TATTATTTTTTTATTTTTTTATTTTTTTTACAAATCTTACTGACCCCAAACTTTTTTGACTATACTGTATTTTCCAGATCATTGTAACTTAAATCAAAAACATATTTGGTCCTTCTTACTGTGTTAAGCCAATCAAATTATTTTACATTATTTTACTATTTAAAGCCAACAAAATAAATTAGTGTAAAATGTAACTGACCACAGCATGGGTCAGTGGTCCTTGCCAAGAGACCTCTCATCACTCACTGCAACATAGTATTTGACCTGAAGTAGTAACATTATATAACGCTTACATGCATTTTGTCAATTAACAAATTGATTATAAATACATGTATTTACGTCCTAAAGGCATAGAAAGTCTGGACCCTGAGAAAACCCCTTAAACAGGTTATTTATGAAGTTTACAGTTATTTAAATGGCTAAATCAATTGCACTTCAGAATTTATTTAAAGTATCTTAGCAAGATCCTTCTTTGGCATTTTCTTCACTACCCATCACAAAACTTAAAAATACTCTATATTTACACCCCTGTCTGTAGTTAATAGTTTAATGTTTTCTTTATTACATTTAGCTGCATTGTTAACCTTTCATGGCATTTAAAAAAAATAAGAGTATGTAATTATAAGAGTATGTGTTTTACTGAATGTTGTTTCAGTTATGTCTGTGCTTGTGTTAGGAGATACTGCGGGAACTGTGTGGATTGGAACACAGGATGGAGGGTGAGGGCTTGTCATTCTTATTTAATCTTATTTCAGTAGGTTTTATCCCTAACATTATTTATTACATTTTCATGCATAGTTTAGTTTACAGAAATAAATACCTCTAAATACTGTGTATATACAGTATATATTTGAAAAAGTTTTTATTCATTTCCTTAAATCATGTTTTTATTGTGTTAGTTACCTGTATTTTTTTAGTTATTATTATTTAATCAAAACAGCCCAACTGCAGTTTGATTGATATTAATTGGAATACAGGACAAAAAAAACCCATAATTTTTGAACATTTTTAAAAACAGAGTTATCTGTTTTTGCAAATGGTCTCTTCCTGTGTGTGTGTGTGTGTGTACACATATACAAACTATTTTAAAAAATTTTTTTGCTGTATGGGTTTCATCCGCTCATGTTGCCTTCTTGCAGTGTGCTGATTCATTCGTCCTCCAGCTCCAGGCGCCGCTGTTTGCAGTCTGTCAGTCTTTCTGAGGGGGTTCACTCTCTGACGTAAGTGTCTTTTGAATATCTGTCAGTTTAGTAAATGAAATTCCTTAGGTTTCTGATGGAATTCCTCCTGTATGTAAAGGTATTCTCAGGGCGAGGTGATCGCTGGCTTGGCCAATGGGACGCTTGCATTCTTCACCTACAGTTCAGGTGTGTGTTTTTGCGGTTTAGTCCGCTCGGGTGTGTTTTTTAAGATATCAATTTTACTTATGACTTGTAATTATCATTTTTCTAGGCATCTGGAATCTTCAGTCTCAAGAGGTGCTTTCGCTCGGCACGCCACCTTTGCAGCCCGTTCGCTGCTGCCTAGCAAAAGAGGGCTGTCTTTGGGTGTGCTACTGGAATAAAGTTTACATGATCAGTGTGAAAATTCGGAAAGTAGAGGTTGGTCTCTGCTGTCATTGATTGTTCATCTTGTGCTTCACAACCCTCACTCATTCACGTTTCTCTTTCTGTCCATTTAGAGATCGTTCACAGTGTCTGAGCGAAGTGAGCAGCAGGTGCGTTTTCTGTGCGCGGCAGGAAGTGGCGTTTGGGCTGCGTGCCGTTTGGATCCAATTCTTAGGCTTTTTGATTGGACAACTGGCCGTCCTCTACAGGAAGTAGATTTATCGTCTGTAGTGACTAAAGCTTTAGGTATTTGATTTGTATTTATTCATTAATATGGATCATTTATTGAATTTTTTTAGGGTGTCTACTATTCCAAAGCAGTAGTGATTTTTTTGTTGTTTTTTTGAATGACAATCTTTATCCAGCAAGGATGCATTAAAAGTGACAGGTGATTTTGTATGTGATTTTTTAAATTTTTAAAAATCCATTCGTCTCCATGTTGATTGTTCATCTTGTGCTTCACAACCCTCACTCATTCACGTTTCTCTTTCTGTCCATTTAGAGATCGTTCACAGTGTCTGAGCGAAGTGAGCAGCAGGTGCGTTTTCTGTGCGCGGCAGGAAGTGGCGTTTGGGCTGCGTGCCGTTTGGATCCAATTCTTAGGCTTTTTGATTGGACAACTGGCCGTCCTCTACAGGAAGTAGATTTATCGTCTGTAGTGACTAAAGCTTTAGGTATTTGATTTGTATTTATTCATTAATATGGATCATTTATTGAATTTTTTTAGGGTGTCTACTATTCCAAAGCAGTAGTGATTTTTTTGTTGTTTTTTTTGAATGACAATCTTTATCCAGCAAGGATGCATTAAAAGTGACAGGTGATTTTGTATGTGATTTTTTTAATTTTTTAAAAATCCATTCGTCTCCATGTCGCAGGCTCTGCATTCCTGTCTCTCTCTCCTCTTCAGATCACAGCCTTGTCTGTGGTCAGTGGGCGGTTGTGGGTGGGAACAGGAAGTGGGGCAATCTTCTCAGTTCCACTGTCGCTCAGTGAGTGTTTTTTTCCCCCTAACTAAAATGAACTATTCTTAAATGGTTTTGTGAAACTTACACATTTTTTTGATCTACATTGTTTTATTTTTTGGCAGCTTCAGAGTCCTGCTCTATACCATACTGCTCTCTTGCTTCAGCTCAGCTCTGTTACCATGGCCATCGACAAGCTGTTAAATTCATCATTTCTGCTCCAGGTTCGAAACAAATATTGTTTACATTCAGTAACAGTAGATGGAAGATCAAAAATACTTCGTTTCTTTTTGATCGTTTTTTTCTAACCAATGCAGGCTGCCGTAGTTCCTCCAATTCACCAGATGGCGCTGCTACTACCTCTCAGCTCATTCTCAGTGGCGGGGAAGGATACATCAACTTCCGAATTGGTGCGACTTTCCTTTTAGCAGTTGTTATACCACAACTTATATATATATATATATTTTTCCATTGAGAATGTTTTTTTTTTTTTTAAAGATAAGAATATAATTCACCATTCTTTTCTTCTTTAGGGGATGATGGAAGTGATGGGGCCAGTGAGTCTGTCCTACAGAGATCAGAACGAAGTCACATGATTATTTGGCAGAGCCCCACCCCCTATGTCCAAAGCCCCGCCCTCTCTGTCCCAAGCCCCGCCCTCTGAAAGCACTTCAGCTGTTCACTCAAACAGTCTGTGAGCTCTATCAAGATAAGATTGAGCATACTACATAGAATGCATTACTTTTCTTCTGTCCCCCTTCTATAGATGCTCCCAAAGGGAAGTAAAGGACTAAAGTCAAAGTAAGGCATTAAGTAATTTTGGACCTACAAATTTTCATTCTGCACTTTCAATTTAGTTTATGTATTTTTTTGGAGGGGGGTGAACTGACTTTAAATGACATTGTATTTTTTTTTTAGTCCCATAACTGCTCCACAGACTTCTCTCCAGTGTGCCTTAGTGTGTGTTTTCAAATTCTGCCTTGTATTTGACCAGTGATTTTATTTTATTGCACACAATCATCCTAAATACTGGAACATAGATGGGTTGTAATTGCAATGCTAGGCCAGGAACTATTAATATATAATTTTTATTTCATTTTATGATTTTTATTTTAAATCATGAGGAGTGATGCAACTGATATGCTGCTGGTCATGACATGAAGTATTTTCAAAAATAGTCTGTTGGTTGCTTGTCTTGCATTAGATCAACTGGAAACTCGCACAAAGAAAAGTAACATCAATATGACAAGAAACTGACCAAGATTGACACACTACCTAGATTCTGTGACCTTGACATCTATAGTGCATATACTTCAATCTGAACAAAAAGGTTATTTTTCTTTAGGTTTGGTGTTTATGGTGAGGTTTTATTTTTCATTTGATTATTATTGGTCTCTTAAGTTATTTGTTGTGAAATCAATGGAAGCTTCTGTGTGGCGATTTTTTTGCAGTATTTTTTGAATGGGTGAATGTGTGGCTCTACCTATTTAATAAGCGAGAGAAAGAAAGTGACCATGTTTTGTTAACTGGAAAATGTTATGAAAATGTGCAACTGTGTAAATACATTTTCACTCTAATTATAAATTGTGTCGAGTTTTGTTCTGAAAATGATTCAGTATTAAAATAAAGCACCAATGCTGCATGTTCAATTTTAAATTATGAAAAATGTATCAGATTAATCACCCATGTTTTGCACAACAGAAGATATATATATATAGAAAAGTTTTGCTGCAAAAAAGAAATACAGAATTGCGTATACAAAACACTCAAAATGTACAATGCACAGTACCACATAACTGCAATTTCATAGTTTTTGTAGTAGTAGTAGTAGCAAACACTACATTGTAACAATCATACTGTAACTGTCAGCCTTCATCCTTGCCTTATCGTTCCACTTTTCTTCTTTTGCAACTGAGATTTTGGCCTTATTTGCTCTTTGTGTGCGCTGTCAGCCGTGCCCAGGGGTCAGGGTGTGCTGTGGCCGCGGTGGGGTTTCCGTATGCTGCGGCTCAGGGTGCGAACGAGCCGGTCCACGGCATTGTGTTTGTGTGTCAGCTCATTCCCTGAAATCAAACCCTCATGTTCCCACTGTACCACATGACCCAGCCCCCCATAAGGATCCATAAGGCCTGCAAACACCAGGACAAACTTACAGTGGGTCAGTCCAACACGGTCAGGTGTAGACATGGTGAACGCCCTTCTGCCACGAGCGAGGAGAGAAGCATTAAAGAATAATATTAAAAACTATAACAATCACAGCTCTAGTAGGAACAGTTTTGATTTGACTAATTCAATACAGAAATAGGCTACATACTCTACCTGAAGGCTATTATTTTATTTTACAGCAATAGGCATATAGTCTATCTTAATGTAAAGTAAAGCACAATAAAGTATCACGTTTAAAAAAAACATAAGATATATTTTAGGTGAAAAACAAATGCTTGAAAAACAACAACAACCTGTTGCACCTGTTTTGCTTTTGATCAATAATCGAGCACTGCTTCCCAAATAAAGAAAACCAAGTAAACACTGAGAGATTATCATTTTACTTACCTTTTATGACAGAAATTATATTCGTTTGCGAAACTGTGAAGAAGTTGGTCGTTTGTGTTTTTCCAGGATTTGCCACCTGCCCGCAAACTAGCCGTGTCACGTGACACGACTCTCTTAAACGTCCTTCATTCACGTTTCCCCAAAATAATAACAAGACTTAAAACAGAAGCGGATGTGACGGTGGGACTTTTTTATGGTTTCATTCCAGTATAAACACCTTTCATACCGATTTAGAGACTTCCTGCGAACCAGATGACGATTCTCACAACTAAAACCAAAACCATAACGTAATTGTTCGAGGATTAACTGACACAAAACACCCGTTCACTCGTTCACTCGTTCAGAAGTGTGTGAATCTCGGTGAAGGTTTAGTTTCGTGACTAGGCTCTATATGAGGAACGAGTTGTATTTTTCAGGAAATGTATCATAGCTCTTGAAAAAAAGTCCCTTTTTGAAAAGTTTGCGTATAAACACTATTTAAAAATGTACTTTGTATATCATATGAAATAATCGTCAGAAAAAATATGATTTTTCTTTAAATGTAATGAAACTGAGGTGTTTTTCCTCCTCAGGTGTGATATCTTACTAGTCTATAATATGATATCACACCTGAGCAGGAAAAAAACACCTCCATTTTATTAAGAGACCCAGTCTGAGCAAAAATATGCAAGTTGGTTGTAATGAGATCCTTAACCCTCTATGGTATGCATTATGTTCTAAACATGAAGTAATTTTTCAAGTGGGAAAAGTTGCCATATGGCAAGGCTGTACCACAATGGAAAATGGTCAAAAAAGTAGGCTAGTTTTTCTATAAAATTATTTCTTTTATATTTAAATGCACATTTCTTTTAAATATTGATAGATTTATATATTTGGAACTCATGCAAACCAAAAATAAGTAGATCCCTATCATTTAACCTTCACTGTAGGCTAAGTCATCCTCACTCTTATCACATGGAAGAGTTAACTCTGTATTCTTCCTATTGGCCTTTCTGTAAAACATTGCTGAATTCATTTTTTTGAAAAGAATAAAAACATTTTTTATTTATACATAAATACAACTATACTACAATAAACACTTCAAATAAGTAATAAGTCCAATCATATTAATGATACTCCTATCTATATCTATATAAATCCCAATGGGGAAATACATTACTGCAGTTCCACTGTGGTACAGCATTGCCATATGACAACCCTTATCACATGGAAGAGTTAACTCTGTATTCTTCCTATTGGCCTTTCTGTAAAACATTGCTGAATTCATTTTTTAAATAAATACATAAATACAACTATACTACAATAAACACTTCAAATAAGTAATAAATCCAATCATATTAATGATACTCCTATCTATATCTATATAAATCCCAATGGGGAAATACATTACTGCAGTTCCACTGTGGTACAGCATTGCCATATGACAACAATTTCTGAAGATGAACGAAGGTCTTACGGGTTTGGAACGACATGAGGATGAGTAATTTCATTTCTGGGTGAACCATCCCTTTAACAGAGCAATTTATGGAGCACTTCAACAGGTGAGGGTGACAGTGGGAAAGAGTTTTGGAAGGACGTTCAGACGTCATGTGACTTAAAAACAGCACATCATTGGCTACCAAAGGGTTTGTTCACCCAAAAATTTAAATTAGTCCATGTTTTACTCACCCTCAAGGCATCCTAGGTGTATATGACTTGCATCTTTCAGACAAATAAGGTACAGCATTGCCATATGACAACAATTTCTGAAGATGAACGAAGGTCTTACGGGTTTGGAACGACATGAGGATGAGTAATTAATGACAGAATTTTAATTTCTTTCTGCAGTGAGCGGGTGTTTTTGTTCAACAGTCCAAAAGTAGTCAAATAAAGAGCATCCACCCGTATTAAAATGTGCCTCACACTCCGGGGGTGGGGTGAATAAAGGCCTCCTGTAGCGAATCAATCCATTTTTGTAAGAAAACTATCAATACTTAAAACATTATAAACATTTTCTCTCACTTCCACTAACTGTTATAAGTGCAAGTCATTCCGGGAGGATGACGTAGGACGTATGTGTCGAGCACGTGCCGGTGAGATATGCTAGTCTCGCGAGTTTGTTAACAGGAGCAAAGGAAGCAAAGTTTCCTTACTTTAGCAAAGGAAAACCAGTCTCCTCTTGGCTTATATAGAAATCCTCTGACATTTTTCTTTACAAATCCTCGTTTTGTGTTTGTAATTTGAGACTGTGAATTTTGTTTTGTTCTCTCTCCATCGCGCTTCTGCATTCGTCACTAATGCGTGTGCGACGCATACGTCCTACGTCATCTGCCGGAATGGCTTCCACTGACGACTGAGAAAAACATTTTAAATATGGATGTTTTCCCTAAAAAAACGCATTGATTCACTACAGGAGGCCTTTATTCACCCCCAGGAGCCGTGTGAGGCACATTTTATATGGATGGATGCACTTTATTTGACTTCTTTTGGACTGTTGAACAAAAACTCCCGCCCACTGCAATGATAACGCTTCGAGGAGCAAGGATAATTTTTTTATATTTTTAGATTGGATTCATCTGAAAGAAGAAAGTCATATACACCTAGGATGTCTTGAGGGTGAGTAAAACATGGGCTAATTTTTATGTTTGGGTGAACTAATCCTACAAGGCCTGCCCAGTTAATTCCCATAAAGCAATATATGTGACACTGGACCAAAAAAACAGTCTTAATTAGCAAAATTATCGATTTTTCTTTTATGCCAAAAATCATTAGGATATTAGATAAAAATCATGTTTCATGAAGATATTTTGTGAATTTCATACAGTAAATATATCAAAACTTAATTTTTGATTAGTAATATGCATTGCTAAGGACTTCATTTGGACAACTTTAAAGACGGTTTTCTTAATATTTAGATTTTTTGCACCCTCAGATTCCAGATTTTCAAATAGTTGTATCTCGGCCAAATATTGTCCTATCCTAACAAACCATACATCAAGGGAAAGCTTATTTATTCAGCTGTATAAGTCTCAATTTCAAGAAATCTACCCTTATGACTGGTTTTGTGATCCAGGATCACATATTGTATCTTTTTCAGAAAAACAAGAAGATGAGTAGAAATTAATTGTTGCCATATGGCAACTTCATATTATAGAGGGTTTAGAGTATAGCAGACTACTTACAAAAAATGCATATAAATATCAGTTGTCACTTTTTATTTAAAAAAATATATAATGCAATGCAATACAATGAGTGCGATATGTACAAACAAATGTGTGATTACAGAGTGAAAAAAAACTAATACTGTCTACTATAATACTGTATAAGAACCTGGAAGGGACTTCCATTCCATTCGTTCTTTTAGTTTCATGGAAAAAGTCATTTAGGAGCAACTCTAACATTAGATCCTGGAGGACAGAGGTAAAGTCACATGACATGAAACCGGTCCAAAAGATTTTTTTTTCCTCCAAAGAAAATGATTAGATAAACCTACAAATAGTTGTTTCTTCAGTCCAGTAAATGTTCATCTTGAAATATTTTACGAACATTATAAAAGTTATTAGATACATGTACCATGACCTGAAGGTGGATACTTTTATAATTATACTAAAAGGCCTTTTACTTAATAATAAAAAGCATGAACTACCAGTCAAGAGGAACACAGTAGTAGATTGTGTACAACAGGTTTTCACCCAACTTTTGACCATGTTAATCATTTAGAAACTCATGTATCAAATATAATACATTGTGCTTTATAAGGCTACATCTTAATTCAGCTGAAAATAAAGGGAAAGTAGATTCCATATATTATGACATTTTTGTCTGAGGTATTTGTTCATGCTGGAGGCAGAGCTGTGTTCTTCGGTCATACTTCAGGCTAACCTTCCGTTAATTTCTGAGGGAAAAAAATAATGCTTTCCTGCCGTTTGGTTTGCGTTTACAGGGCACACACTCCCATGTAATGCTATCAAAGAACTTTTTGCGGTATCCAGACTGACATCCACACACGGTGTTATTTTGGGGTGTACATGGTGAAATCACCACTGCATCTGTCGGAGAACCAGTCAAAGATAAAAGAGTGAACATCTAAACAAAATCAACACCGCAAAATATGTCATATTTAAATACGTAATTTAAATTTTAAGTTCATTACAGAAGTCATGAAAGGAAAATGAATCTGTATCATACTTACTTGGCTTGGTGCATTTCTCGCATCTGAAGCAGTTTGGGAAATAGTTCATCTTGTCTAGGTATGTCCCACTCTCACATTTCTCACATTGAGATGACAAGTCACTAGTGCATTTTCTTACAAACTTATACCCTGAAGAAAAATACATGACAGATGAAGAGATTAAACAGTCTATTCCTCTGAAAAACTGTTATTCCGATGGTATTGGTTAAACATTTCAGACAGTGTAGGCTACCTGGAGCACATATTGTCCAGCAGAGGCCGTCACTCCAGTATTCATTTTTAGAACAATCACTTGTGCTGCTGACGCTGCGCTGGCCCGTCACAACGCCTACGATCTGAGGTCAATAAAAGTTCATAAAAGTTGAATTTATGGCTTGGTATTGCGCAACTGGATGATGCCATCACTGGGTAACCCTTGAAACTGTAGTTTAACCTCAAAACATCTGCCAAATGTCCGCTGTGTGACTAAGCACACAATCAGGATGCACATATTTGTGAAATCTGCTCACTAGTTTCTAATGACTTACCAATGATAACAAAATACACGGCAGGAGTTTCCAACTACGTTGTCCTTGGATGTGAAACATGGCTCTTATAATGCGTGCAGTCAACCCTTCTGGTGGTCTCATCATTTTCATGAAAATTTCAAAACTCATAGTTAAATGTCTTCCCTTTCATTGTGTGAATGAGATCTTCATTGATAACGATGGACGAACCACATGGATCTGCATTTTTGTATTCATTTGTGGATGGACTGCAAAGACACTTAATCCTTTATTTTACTGTTTGATCAATATAGTAACAGAGCTTATAAACTGACATTAATATTTTTTTCTCTCCATTATCCAACATCAAATAGGATTTTTGCCATAGTGGATTTCACACTAGGGGACTGAAGATAAAAGTATTACGGCATGAATTGTGCTAAATGTGGACTATAAAGCATATATAATAAGGTATATAAAGACACACACACACACACACACACATGAATTTCTGTAAAGCTGCTTTGAAACAATGTGTATTGGAAAGGTGCTATACAAATAAAATGGATATCACGATGAAACATCAAGATACGGCATGAACAAAATGTTTATTATCAAAAATGTAATTTTAATATTTATTAATTTTAAATTTTTTTATGTAACAGGCATGAGTTTTTTAAGGAGCAAAAAAAATCTCATTACCACTTTTATGTTTCACAAAAAAAGGAAAGTAATTTCTATTGCATTCTATGTATTCTTTGTGAAAATATCTATTGAATGTTGCGTTAAGATCTGACAAAGAATATTTTAGATACGCATTACAAATGACATCAACAGACGTGTAGTACATGTGCATTCAGGATGGTAGCACCCTTTTATTTCCCAACTTGATGCTGTTCCCACTTTTCATAATTTACTATTATGTAAAAACCTTACCATGGACAGGGGCTAAAAAAGTTACAAATCTGCTGCATAAAATGTATTTTGCTGTTAAATAAATAGAATAAATAGATTTTTTTTTACAGTGTCAAGTCACATAACAATAAATGGTTTTTGTCAGAGGTATTTGTTCATGCTGGAGGCAGAGCTGTGTTCTTTGGAAATACCATAGGGTAACATTCACATAATTACTGAGGAAAACTAAGGCTTCCCTGCTTATTTGGTTTTCAGTCATACAAAAACAGTCCTTTTAAAGGGCACACACTCCCATGAAATGCTATCAAATAACTTTTTGCGGTATCTAGACTGACATCCACACGTGGATTTCACATGGTGAAATCACCACGGCATCTGTTGGAGAAGCAGTCAAAGAACAAAAGAGTGAACATCTAAACAAAATCAACACTGCAAAATATACATAATTGAAATGTTAATCACAGAAGTCATGAAAGGAAAATAAGGTAACATTCACATAATTACTGAGGAAAACTAAGGCTTCCCTGCTTATTTGGTTTTCAGTCATACAAAAACAGTCCTTTTAAAGGGCACACACTCCCATGAAATGCTATCAAAGAACTTTTTGCGGTATCTAGACTGACATCCACACACGTGGATTTCACATGGTGAAATCACCACGGCATCTGTTGGAGAAGCAGTCAAAGAACAAAAGAGTGAACATCTAAACAAAATCAACACTGCAAAATATACATAATTGAAATGTTAATCACAGAAGTCATGAAAGGAAAATTAAACTGCATTATACTTATTAGTCCATCTTGTCTAGGTATGTCCCTTCTGAACATTTCTCACATTGAGATACCATGCCACTAGAGCATTTTCTCATCAACTTATACCCTGAAGAAAAATACATGACAGAGATTAAACAGTCTATTCCTCTGAAAAATTGTTGTTCCGATGGTATTGATTTCAGACAGTGTACCTGGAGCACATTTGTCACAGCAGAGCCCGTCGCTCCAGTATTCATTTTTAGAACAATCACTTCTGCTGAGTGGCCCTGCCGCAAAGTCTAACGTCTGTGGAAAAAGTGTAACCGTTCATGACAGTTAAAAGTGTAAAAAAGTGTAACAGTTAAAAGTGTAACAGTTCATGACAGTTAAAAGTGTAACATTTCATGACAGTTAAAAGTGTAACAGTTTAAAGCGTAACAGTTCATGACAGTTAAAAGTGTAACAGTTAATGACAGTTAAAAGTGTAACAGTTAAAAGTGTAACAGTTCATGACAGTTAAAAGTGTAACCGTTCATGACAGTCAAAAGTGTAACCGTTCATGACAGTCAAAAGTGTAACCATTCATGACAGTCAAAAGTGTAACCTATCATGACAGTCAAAAGTGTAACCGTTCATGACAGTTAAAAGTGTAACAGTTCATAACAGTTGAACTTATGGCTTGGTATTACGCAACTGGATGATGTCATCACTGGGTAACCCTTGAAACTGTAATTTAACCTCGAAACATCTGCCAAATATCTGCTGTGTGATTAATAGCACAATTATTATGCACATATCTGTAAAATTTGAAATCTACTCACTAGTTTCCTATGACTCACCAGTAATAGCAAAAAATGCAGAGCAGGAGTTTCCTCATGCTTCGTCCTTGGATGTGAAACGGTTCTTATAACGTGTGCAATCAACCCTTCTGAAAAAGAAGAAGATTTGATTGTATATATGTGACCCTGGACCACAAAACCATAAGGGTCCATTTTTTAAAATTGAGATTTATACATCATCGGAAAGCTGAATAAATAAGGTTTCCATTGATGTATGGTTTGTTATGATAGGACAATATTTGGCCGAGATACAACTATTTGAAAATCTGGAATCTGAGGGTGCAAAACAATCTAAATATTGAGAAAATCGCCTTTAAAGTTGTTCAAATTAAGTCCTTAGCAATGCATATTACTAATCAAAAATAAAGTTTTGATATATTTACGGTAGGAAATTTACAAAATATCTTCATGGAACATGATCTTTACTTAATATTCTAATCATTTTTGGCATAAAAGGAAAATCGATAATTTTGACCCATACAACGTATTTTTGGCTATTGCAATAGCCGTGCTTTATGGTTTTGTGGTCCAGGGTCACATATTTTAGTAGATAACTGAAATTCTGAAAGAATAAAGGACCAGTATATATTTTAATTGAATTGTGATATACAAAATATACAAGATACATATTCAGATAGTACAAATGTTTCAAAAACATCTAGAATTTATCTTCTTTTTTTATCCAGTTGAATGCCACATTTTGTATGAGATATAGTTGTATATAACTGTCTCTTAATATAATATTAATTTATTTGTTTGTAGAACTAACAAAAAGAAGAGCCCATGAATTTACCTCTATCCTCCGGGATCTAATGTTAGAGCTGCTCCTAAATGACTGAAAGAACGAATGGAATGGAAGTCCTTACAGGTTCTTATATAAGATGACAGTTTTAGTCATCCTTTTACTACATAATAGTAAAACCACACAACTAATGTGGGGGGTACAATAAATGACAAAACATTAAACCTGTCCAGTCAGATTTAGTCATCACTACGAACTTAGAACTGTGTAGTGCAAATCTGCAAGATTGTGCAAAAACAGCACGATCTTGCAGGTTTGCACTACACAACATCAGGATCAAGACCGTTTCTAACAGGACCTGCAAAACAGCTTCTCGTCCAGGCCTTTGTCATTTCTAGGCTGGACTATTGCAATGCTCTTAACAAAACAAGATACCACACAAGTTCCTGCTCAGAAACGTTTTGTCAAGGTTTATAGGTTGAAACTCAAGCCAGATTTGAAACTAAAGCTAGATATTGAGGCATTGTGGATCACTGGTCTCATCATTTTCATAAAAATGTCAAAATTCATAATTAAATGTCTTCCGTTTCATTGTGTGAATGAGATCTTCATTGATAACGATGGACGAATCATGGAGCTTTTCATTCATTTGTGGATGGACCTCAAAGACACTTTATTCTTTATTTTACTGATCAATCAATAAAGTAACATAGCTTATAAACTGACATTAATATATTTTTCTCTCTCTGTTATCCAACATCAGATAGGGTTTTCGCCATAGTGGATTTCACACTAGGGGACTGAAGATAAAAGTATTATGGCATGAATTTCTAATGTGCTAAATGTGGACTATAAAGTGTATTATAGCATATTATAAAGGTATTATAAACAAGAAAAATATGAACTTTCGGTATGAGCTGCTTTGAAACAATGTGTATTGTGAAAGTGCTATACAAATCAAATGGAATCAAGATTGAGTGTGATACGGCATGAACAAAATGTTTACGATTAAAAATATAATTTTAAGATTTAATATTTACTCATTTTCAAAAAAATGTATGTAAAAAGGTTGAGTTTTTTTAAGGGGCAAACAAAAACAAAAATTCTCAGAACCACTTTTAAGTTCCACAAAAAAAAGAGAAAGTCATACGGTTTTGGAACGACATGAGGGCGAGTAAATGATGACGACGAATTTTCCTATTTTTTTGGCAGAAATATCCTTTTACACACAATAGCCATGTTCTTACTCTAAAATCTTGCATTATTTGCTCATTTCTGAACTATGCTGTTTGATAGAACAGCACGATGTCACTATTTATCGCGTCATCAGTCTACACTCATTTGGGCTTGACTCAGTAACCTTCGTCTCAGAAGTTTAGTTACCATGACCATGCCAAAATACTATATAATTACTAAACCAGAATTATAATGACAGAATGCATCATCTGGATTAATCATTGCATCCATACATCCAAAAAAATAGCAAATTTATGCATTCTTTGTGAAAATATCTACTGAATGTTTTATCTCTGTAAGCATTTCATTCATGGTAACTGCCTTTTGTAAGGCTATATTACTAAACTTTCGTTTCCTTTTCTTCTGGTTTAGTTTAATAGGTGTCTGTCAGATTGATTAGAGAAGCATCTGAAGGAGGAAGACAGATGGCATCAAATACAGCATTTACAGTATGCCATGTGGGACTGTAAATGGAGACGAGACCAGGAAATTACCATAAGTCACAGTGAAAGGACGAAACTAGACTGAGTCATATGGTTTGGCGACACCATTTACTGTATTAGCTGTCCTACAGGACACCTCATGGCCGTGTCATATCTTAATCACAATACCATTTGATGACACACTGGAGTCGCATTAAACTGAAAGAAGATCAGTTGAAAGATAGTCTTGTTTCTGTAAATAAACCAAATGTCAATACATTTTACAAAGATCTTGCGTTTTAAAACAATGGTTATGTGGACTGAAAATGTTTCACCCAGATGTTTCATCCGTTATATTCTATAATAATATACACAGTGTTGGGTAAGGGTAAAAAACAACTAATTATTAACTTTTTAAAAGAGTGTAATTGGATTATTGTACTAATTACTCATCCATTTCATAAATTATTCTTGAACAGACCAAAGTATTTTTAAAGGGAGAAGGTTTAACATTACATTTAAAATTGATGTTAAATCCACTACTGTTTCATATAGAATTGTTTACTCTATACAGTATTTAATGCAATAACTTCAGAAGTAACTAAGCAAATATGAAATTAAAGAACATAGGAGTAATGCCTTGCTTTACCTTCTCCAGGGAAAAGTCATTACTGTAGCCTAATTAAACACTGTCACAGAACATAATAATGAAAGTTTATTGACAAACGGGTAATAGAGTGATAGCAGAAACTGAATATAAACAACAATCAGAGCAGATGAGTAATAATGACACCACACACACCTTCTGAGATAATGGAATGAGTGTATCTTATCAACGTCTCTTATCTTTGCAGGTCTTCAGGAGAAACAGGAATCTGGGACGAAAGAAGCACTGGAGACTGGAGCATGGAGAAACAAAACAGGCAAGTAGTCACAAGTAGCATAAATCGATACAGGGAGTCTTAGCCATAGACCATTTAGACATAAGCAGTCCTATCGACGAGATCAGACCAACCATGTATGTTTGTGGTGGCTTATTTGGAGGAACTGTTGAGGCTGATGGCAGACAGATGTGGTGATTGGAGTGTGCACTCATGGTAGTCAGAGAGGATTATGGGAGATCTAGAGTGCTTATGTGACAGGCATGGTGAATGGAGTTTGTGATCGTGACAATAATGCATTACACACTGTAGAATATACTATACATTATATGGGTCATTCCTGGGATTCAGTAATATCTCAGCTTGGAATGTTTTTTAAGCTGATCAGTAGGCACATATAAAACGTCCAACAAATCATCATTTTTTTAAAACACCTTTTATTCTCAACCCTGTAACGGACAAAATAGGTTTGGTTTAAATAGGAATTTATGATTTTACACATAACTTATTATAAAATAAACATCTACCTGCTCATGTGACCCTCATAACAATTTAATGACATAAAATGTAACTTTTATGATGATTTTTACATTTTTATTGGACTGAAGTTAAAAATAGACATAGTTTTTATAAAAATGTTTTAAATTTAGATGTTTAACTAAACACAATTTTATTGTGTTAAATCATTAACATGACAAGTGGTAATCAGCAAGAAATGCTTTCATTCTTAATTGTCTTCCTTATTTTTTTCCGAAAATATTAATATGACAAGGTCGATAATAGTGTGAAGTACAGTTGAAGACTGTAACAAGGTTAAAGGGAGACAGTGTTTTCAAGTTTAATTTTCAGTTTTGTTTCTCTTTCATATTGTGCAATTCACTGAAAAATAAAAGATACTAAATTTTTTTAAGGTAAGTGGTTGCAAACTATTTATTTTAGCTACATTTAATAAAAAAAATATATATATATATGTTGAAAGCTAGTCAGCTAAATTTGTTTATTTAAATGTAGCTAAAATAAATTGATTGCAACCACTTACCTTACATTTTTTTTTAGTAAATTCAATGAATAATTTTTTTCAGTGTGGTTGCTCAATAATACTGTCTTTCTGGTGCTGGTGTGGGTGCCATTTCTGATGTAGGATGCATGTCAACGTTA